GCTGAACTCTTGCACAGTCTGTTGCCATATGGTACCCTCCCTTCTACTGGCAAACAATCTTTCCTTGTTCCTAACTTCTCAGCCTCCCTACCCCCTCCTTTTCTGGAGGGTATGGATAGGAAATCCGAAGGAGGAGTTTCTGCTGCTCTCAGTGTGTTCGCGGTGACATCATAGGTGGGCTGAACGTCTCGGTCGAGTGTGTGTTTGTTTTAAAAAAACTGTCCAAAAGTGATGTATATGGAATCTGGGTCAGCTGTAGCTGCTTAGTGCACTTCTGCATGTGAGAGTAAAACACTGCCGTTTCAAAAGCCATTTCTTTCTCTCTTCTGGAAAAAAATATACTGGAACATTACTTTTTTTTTTTTTAAAGGATTAGTTAGCTCGGTTATCGTATGGAGAAATCCAATTCCTCAATCCAGCCTGGATCTAACAGAGAAAGACAAAAGCAGTTTTCAACTCCAACTGCAGATTAGCCACCCCCAGCACCGGGTAATATAGGAAGACAAAGCAAGTTGGCCTCTGGATTTTCCATCTCCCACAGAAGCAAAACAGCTGGAAGATTTTTTGCTTGGTAAGTTTTAAAGTTATTCTTACTTGCACAAGTTTCGTTTTGAGCTATTTGTGAATTCTACATCCATCTCCCTCAACATATAATTGTGAGAAACAGATCTCTCTCAGCTGGAGAAAAGTTTGACAGCTAAACTATAAACCTCACTTCTGTGGTATTCGGGAAGTTTGCAGAGAATTAAAAAGGACTCTGCAAAACAGCAGAGACTAACTCATTCCAGTTGTAAGGATGAACGAGTTGCAGTTGTTTAGCTGTAAATCTTACTGAGATTCTGTTCCTCACAGAAAATGAGTACTACCAGATTCTTTGCTAAGCATGTAATTTGGGTATTGTGAACATATTCATGTGAAATTCTGATCCTATCAGAAAGCAAAAGCCAAAAAAATCCTATCAACCTCAGGGAAGCTGGATTTCACCCAACGCCAGAGCATAGACCCAGCATTACTAGAACTAGAAAATGGATACCTCAATAAAACCACTGTAAAATGTCCCAAGTAAATCAATGCACATCTGTAAGGAGCAATCATTGTACACGGGTTCAACTGAACTTTTATTTCTAGTACTTGGGGGTAGCAGAAGGAGTCGAGCGGTACACCCCACCAAGAAACCAGAGTCATAGATTGATTCAGAATACAATCAAGTTTGTAGCACAACCGACTGTGCAGCTGAAAATCCAAAGACAACGCTGCAACGGCACTAATCCCTTCCTTGAACAATTTGCTGAACGATGGGGAAGTTAATTCTACCTCGGTGGAGCAGCAGTTTGTGTCTAAATAAAGACTCGTTTCATAAACATGAAATGCAACATATAAGGCAACATTATATTAAGTGGAAAATAGAGGGGTTTGTTACAGTTGTTCACTGGGGGGAGGGAGGCGGAAGGCTGCAGTTGCAGTCAAGGATTAAAACAAGAAAGCTGTTTACAAACAGAAGAAAGTAAAGATTAAAAAAAACACACACAAAAAGAACTGCTAATCCCTAATTTTCTGGTTTTTTTGCCTTTCTTCATGCTGACTTGGAAATTAAAATACAGTGGGTAATCCAGAACAATGGAAAATACTTTCAGTTATGTTGTTTGTACTAACAAACCCTGAGAAATGTCTGACACGTTAAAAGAAAAGGCTAAAAAGAGACCAAGTGTTTCAGAAAGCAAACCTAATTAAGGTTTAGAAGCTATGGGAAGAAAAACATCTGAAGCAGTCTTGACCAAAAAGAAAGCTGGATCCTTTCCAAGTTCTTGAGTCCTTTTTCTTACCACCCTTTTGTGCTCCTCTACATATTAAAGAGAACAATCTAAACAACAACAAACCCCCCATTTGAAGCCTACATTGTGTTTCTTGGAAACTGGTCTCCATTCATTCATGATTAGCCAAGGTTTTGATTTACACTGCTTAGAACAATTCCTAAATCTTTCACAAACGAAACCAGCTGATTCAACATTTTTAAAGCAACAAACTGGCTATATGCAAGGTTTTAGCTCTCTTTTTTGTTGTCTTCCAACCTCAGAGCTCAAATTTTGAAATGCTTATTTTCACCCAATAATGACCTAGTAATATTATGCTGGTGCCACAAGAAGGATCTGATGCATGCTGGAAAAATAAGCCATCTAAAATCTCACAGGAATTCAAAGAGTGGAAAATCTGAATCGTTAAAACTTCTGCCAGTGCATACCTAGCTTTATCAGGTTTTGATTATTGTTTTACTAGGCTTTTGTTGGTTGTAACATGCCCTATTAGTCTGGTCCTTAAAATTTATACATCAACGAATGAAATAAAACTTCCTGTAGCCAATCTTGCTCCACGGCTTCAGTGTCTGTCGTACAGAGAATTCTGGAGCCCCTAAACACCACATTTCCAAATGCAGACGGCACCACTCCGTTGTACCTGCCTGTTGAAATGGTGCAAACACACACAACTGCTACAAACGTAAAGGAACCCCCACAAAAAAAAAACACCTTCTCCAAAAACTCTGGAATGTTACATTGTTTTGCTGTGCTTTCAAGTATCGAGTATGACAAGATTTCTTTCTTCTGCAGAGAATCTCTAACCATCTATCACTTGTACAAGTGACATCTGCAATGTCTCCTTCAAAACCCCCTGAAGGTTTTTCGATTGTCTTTACTCAAGGAATCAGAGTCCTGTTAATCTCACAGAAGTAGAATTCTGTGACTCAATCCATCATGTATCTGACTAACAAAACCCCAGAACGTATTATTCCTGGATCCCAGTCAATACAATCGAAAGCAATCCTGTTATTTCAGCAACGGCAGTGACTTA